AAACAATTTCTGGGGCATTTTTTACTACTGTTTTTCACATTCACACCTACAAATACATATGGAGCAGAAATAAACAAGCATGAAAATCTCTATACTGGGTGAGCTATACTAGCTTGTGCTTTCATGATGTGAATGGAGGGAAGATGAAGATGAAGTGAAGATGGAGGGAAGCCTACATGGTTATTCACATGACTGCTTCGATTTGAAGTTAACATGGTTGCACACATATTTTAAATTTTTTCTTTTCTGAGCACCAGTCATTATACTTTACAATGTCTTTCTTAGAGTAACTTTTAGTAAATCCTTAAAATAGAAGTGGATTATCAGGAAAAGTTAGCTGAAATGCATGTATTTAGGAAATGAAAAAAAGAAAAAAATGAAAAATATTACATAAGCACTAAGTAGTTATTTGAATTAAAAATGCCAATACGTACCATTTTTAGAGAGGATGTAATCCATAGTTTTAGAAATGAAAACAAAACCTACAGTATTACAAGACAAACATGCTAAATTTTAGCAGTGTCAAAATGTAGGCCCCTCTTGGATTAATTTTAAATCCCTTTAACTGGATCAAGTCATTATAGTGGGGTAACTGCGATTTAGGCACTCTCTGCACATACATGAAAAAATATGCATGAGTCACTGCACATAAGCTGATGTCAGTATGATATAATTACACACTCTGACAAAGCAGTGTAGGCAGTGTGATAACAAGTGTGTGCCATGTTGTGGTTAATGACAAAAATCTGTGAAATTGTGAAAGTTACACAAAGTAAAGAAAAGAAACAGTCTTTGTGCTCCAAAATGTGGACTTTATATTTTGATTTAAACCAAATAAAATGCAGTTAAGTTGTAAATAGATGAAATATGAGATTGAAGAATGTATTAGCTTTTTTGTAATGTACATGTTAGCCGGTCGTTATTTGGCTCTTTATTGTCATTTTAAAGTATGCAGTTCTATTTTATTTATTATAACAAAATATATAGCATTTCAATTGATGTCTGAAACTGAAAATGTTCAGTTGCAATGTCAAGGTGATAACTTCTTTATGGATTTCACCTATTTTTATCTATATTTTTATATTTATATTTTCCCCCTCATATTGTTTCAGATTATCAAACAAATTCTACTGTCATAAAAACCCTGAAATAAATATAAGTGAGAGTAATAAAATTACATTGTTTTTATTGGAAACAAAATCTAGATAAACCAATCTATTTCTAGAGAAATGTATTTCCCTTGTGTAAATATTGCAAATAAACCCATTTGTACAACATGACCAGCCATTTTATTTGAAATCATCCAGCCACATCCGGACCTAATTAATCTCTGACCTGTAGAATCAAGACATTAAATATAGTGTTTATGAAATCTCTCCTTTTTAAAAAGTAAAAAAAGAAAATACATATTTAAGGCCTTGAACTCAAGCACCAAAAATAGTATTTTATTTTAACATCAAAGTTTTTTTCTAATTGGAATGTGGATTCCAATTACACTTGCTTGTGAAACAAAGAAAAAAAATAGATTTTTTTCCGCTCCATATTTATTTACTTTTCAATAAATTTAAAATGTTTTTTGTTTTTGATTGATTGTCTTTATTGAACTCACAGTGGAGATACTTACTTGTTACATCAGCTCAAATAGTCAAAAAGAAGAAGGTGCCAAAGGAAGAAGAAAAGGTGCATGGGGGGTATATACAGTATATACAGTGGGTCCACATGTATGTATATATATAGCCTGATTATTATACAGGATTAGTGCACAGGGTATTTATATGGGTATTTATTTCCCTTTGAGATAAAATATTTTTAGAATTGAATTGAAAATGATAATTTTAATATATAATGTTGTCATAATGTTGTGTTTCGCTGCAACAGATTGCTTTAAACAGTCTTTGATCCAAGCATTTTTTTTTCTAAGTTCTGCTTTCCACCCTTGCCATTCATTCCTAAGTGTTTTCTATTATATTTAGATTAGGGTAAAATACAGGCACATTACTTTCCTGGAAGAGCATTTGCACACTGCCCTAAGAGCCAATCATCACAGCAGACATTTAGGCAGGAGAGATACCTGCTGCAGTATTTCCATGTTGCCAGCTGCAGTAGGGCCTGCAAAAGATTTTTCTATAGATTCTGAAGCAACCACTAGATCACGGTGCACCCTTCTTTGAGGTTGACGTCATCTGTTCTGAGGTTCAATAAAAAAAAGGTGATATTTTCCATAGTTTAGTCTTTTAAAGCAGTAGTAAAGAACTTTCAGTTTTGGCGAATTTTGGTTCCCTCCACTGTAAAAAAGTTGTATTGTTCTGCCTAAAGAAAGACCCCATTTCCCATGAGGTCCAGCGTGGTAAAGATCATAGCGTGGTAAAATCTTCCCCATCACCTGCGTTTGGATTGAACAAAAATGCTCAACAATATAAACGGAACACATAAATAAGAATTAATCAAATCAAACTTGTCCAGTTAGGAAGCAACACTGATTGACAATCAATTTCACATGTTGCGGAAATACAATTGACAACAGGTGGAAATTGTTGGTTCCTCATGTGGGGATTACAGACCACTTCTCAGTACCTATGCTTTCTGGCTGATGTTTTTGTCCCTTTTGAATGTTGGTGTTGCTTTTACATGCGGTAGCATGAGACGGACTCTATAACCCACACAATTGATAGTACAGCTCATCCATGCTGGCACATCAATGGGAGCTTTGGCAAGAATTTTTACTGTGTGTATCAGTGTAGTGTCCAGAGGCTGGAGGTGCTACGGGGAGAAAAGCTAGTACACCCGGACATGTGGAGGAGGCTGCAGGAGGGCAACAAACCAGCGGCAGGACTGCTACCTCCACCTTTGTGAAATGAGGAACAGGAGGAGCACTGTCAGAGCCCTGCAAAATTAACCTCAGCAGGCCGCAAATGTGCATATGTCTGCACAAACAATTAGAAACCGACTCTATGAGGATGGTATGAGGGCCCTACCTCCCCACATGGGGGTTGGGCTCACAGCCCAACACCATGCAGGATGCTTGGCATTTGCATGAAAACACCAGGATTGGCAAATGGGTCAGTAAAGGTGTGGTGTGAAATTTCTTTAGAGGACAGCCCTCCATGTGCTCGCCAGAGGTAGCACGACTGCCATTTGGTACCAAGATGAGATCCTCAGACCCCTTATGAGACCATATTGTGGTGAGGATGGCTCTTGGTTCCTCTTAATACAGGACAATGCTAGACCTCATGTGGCTGGAGTGTGTCAGCAGTTCCTGCAAGATGAAGAAACTGAAGCTATGGACTAGCCCGTCCATTCCCCAGACCTGAATCGATTGAGGCCATTAGGGACATCATGTCTCGATCCACCCACAAATGTCAAGTGGAACAACAGACTGCACAGGAGTTTGCGATGCTTTAGTCCAGGTCTGGGAGAAGATCCTAAGACCATGCTCCACCTCATCACGAGCATGCCTCGGTATTGTATCGAAGCCATACAGGCAGATGGAGGCCACGCTTTATACTCAGTCTCCTTTTGACTTGTTTAAAGGGCATTAAATCAAAGTTGCATCAGCCTGTAGTGTGTCTTTCCACTTTAAATTTGTGTGCCATATTCCTGCACCCCCATCACCCCACCCGACTCGTCAGTGACTGATGTGCTGCTGATGAGTTTAGAGCCTTGAAACAGGTATATATAATGTTATTTGATAATTTCACAGTAAACAAACGCATCCCAGTAGAAAGGTGCTGCATTACTTCAATGTCAACCCTGCACTATTTGCACGAAAATACAGTCTCTTAGGGAAATTTAGTCGCATCAATTTCCTTCTTTATAACAAATCAGAAAAGGGGGAAGTGACACATGCCATAAAGCAGTCTGACATTTGTAGTCTTTTTGGGTGACGGGGTTACTGCCACCCTTATCAAAGTTGCTTAGTGCAAAGCTTAGTGAAAGCAATGCAGACCCACTTCCGGCCAAGACAGAGGTGTCATTCAGCTAGTTGTAAGTTGACGTATAATTACAAAAGTTATGAAAATAGCTTATGAAGGTTGAAAAATTACATAGTGTTGGTTGAATGTTTATTGCTCCCTTGAAAAGTTTAAAAGAGAAAATTTATCATGTGGAAAGAGACACAAACTTTTTGTGTATCAAGCTCTTCTCCTGTGTGGCTCCATATAGTTTTGGGCATTTTTATACCCCATTGAATCCTCCAGCACAGTGCAATTTAAATATTGTATTTTCCGCTTCCAAGAGGTCTTGCTTGTGCATCTAAATACATTCTAGCATGTTCAGGAATGCCTTTTTTTTAGCAGTCCATGATGTGAATCTGTTACAGAAAACATTTTATTTTCAGTTTAAAGATGGCTTTCAGTAATCTCTTTTCTATATTTTACAGAATGTCAAAAACAAATTTTCATACAGAAATTACACGAGTAAATATAAATTCAGTTTTTAAAATGTTATATAACCCACAGTCATAAACTCTGAAAGTGATGTTGAAGTGTAATGCCAGGGTATAAATGGTTGATTGAAAGTATTGCTGCTGTTGCTGAAACCATCATCCTAAAATTGCCTTTCCTATTTACCAAAGTCACCCTTTGCAGATATATAAAATGTGCTTAATTATCTAAGATATTTAGATGTGTCAAAAAAGAAAAATGGAAGAATTCTGTAAGGGGAAAATCTGTTTTCATTGCACTGTATACTGTCCAGATTTCATTATATTTTTTTATGCTGAGGCCCTTTAAATTCACTGATGTTTGTGACAGTGGAGCAACTGATTACCGTAAGTTGATTTATGCACTTTTTTATATATTCTTGAAAGAGAAAGGGGGAAAAGTGAACAGAGGAGTGAGAAAGCTTGTAAGAGATGATTCAGGAAGGGTGTTAAAGAGGAGGGTCTTTGGGGGTGGGGAGATAGTGAAGGCAAAGTGAGGATAGGAAAGAGAGTGTGTGGAGAGGGGCGGAGGAAAAGGAGGAGAGAGAGAGAGTAAAGAGAGACAGTACCCAGAGCTGCTGGTGCTGATGCTGCTGCAGCCGTTTTACAATTCCCCACCCATACAGAGCACGGAAGAAGGAAAGAGAGAGATTACAGCAAGGAGGAAGAAGGAGGGAGCGACTCCTCAGTAAAGATGCTCCTGTGCTAGCCAGCACACAAGGTAAATACACACCTCTTTGGTGCTGCTGTTTGTCTCTGCATCATAGTGGCCCAATGTGTTTGTGATGTAGCTCTGTTGAGTCCTAAATATAGTGCAAGGGGTTAGCATAGCAGGCAGCTGGGGAGAACCTGTGTGTGCAGTTGCTGCAGGAGCAGACAGATGTGCACAGTGAGGTGGAAAGGAGAGAAGGATTTGCACATTTTGTCTTTTCTCTGGGCTAAATGAGGAGAAAGCAACATCCAGCTTTGCTGTTTCTTGACTGAAGCCGGGCCACCTGTTCTGAGATGTGTGGGTGTGTGCAGTGTGTGTGTTAGAGGCATGAGGGGTGGGGTTGTAGTGTTTGAGTCTGTTGATTTTTATTTTTTTGGTTAAGTACACAGGAGAATATTTGTGTCAGCTAAGAACACCTATATATTGTAGATTACTGCAGCAATCCTGTGGGTGTCAAATGATGAATGACAATCCTTCAATCTGTAAAATCTTGAGACTAAAGCTCACATGATCGCTTAGGGAAGCAGAGTGAAAGACAAATGTGTGGTGCTAAGTCAAACAAATTGATGTAGTGTCTCTGTAGGTGCTTTGGGCGTTATTGGCTTTGGTAACTTGAGCTTTTCCTGATTTCTGGTTACTAAAGGGTTGTCAGGTGCTGATGCTGAAAATTAACCCACTCACTGCTGTAGGTTAATGTTCCCACCCAGTCATTTAGAGTTGTGTCTCTCTGTGTCTGTGTGTGTGTGTGTGTATGTACTGGTTTATGTCACCAATTTAGGTGACACACACTTGTATTTGTGATATATCTAATAAACTTGTGAGGACCAATAGGCCTCTGGGGACCAAAAGCTGGTCCTAATATGGTGTACCCCCGGTTTTAATGTAACAAACTTAATTTAGAAGTATTGTTTGAATTAATTTTAGGTTATGTTTAGGATCATAATTACACCAGTAATAGTTAGGGTTAGGCATAACTGTAATAACTAAAATGAATGTAAGTCGATGTAAAGCCTTATTATAGATATAAATACAAAGTAGTGTGTTTGCAGGGGGTGGGGGAGTGGGGAGCATGTGGCGGGAGCCACCCCCAGAGTTCCAGGAGAGAAGCAGAAGCCAACAGATGTGTAAGAGCAGAAGAATTTGGAGGGATAATCCAAGGGCAGAATCGAAGCAGGAGCAGGTTTCCAGGCCAGAAGATCAGAGATCCGATGAGTTACTGAGGGAGTTTCCAAGCTAGAGTCAGGAGAAAGATCCAAGGTCGAAAGCAGGCAGAATCCAGTTAACAGTCTAAAGACAGATCAGTCAAACGGAGCAGAACAGGGGCAACAAAAACTCATAAGTCCAGAGGCAGAAACTAGTCAGGAATAGGTAATCAGAAACACACTGGTGCACTAGAGAACTCTCACACACAGCTCGAATAATCTGGCACTGATGGCTGGGAACAGGCAGCCTAAATGAGTAACAGGAACAGGTGGATCTGATGAGTGACAATGAGCATGGGCGGAGCTAAGCAGGTAGAAGGTATGAGCCGAATCCAGTGCCAAGATCATGACAGTTCGTGGCTATGTCTGGGAGAGAAACAGGACTAAGTACTGAAAGTAGGTAAGTAAACTGTGTGTCGACTAATCAGAAAAAGTATTTACCTGCTACACACAGTAATTGCTTTGCTTTTAATGTTGTGAAATATATTACCTAAACATAGCCAAGAGCAGAGTAGCTTACTGTGTTTAAGGAAGTGAATGGTGATTCTAGACCTCAGCTTTTTTTTCAAATCATTGTAGATGTTTCAAAGCCGACAAATATTATCCATAGCTCCATTAATGGTGTCTGCTGTAATATTTGTAAGTAAAATTACGTCTATTAGGAAAGAGACAGATTCTTCTGACAGGAAATTGGATTTGATGTTATTAGTTGGGGAATATCAGTGTTTTTTTTGCACTGAGTGTAATTAAAGAGATGCAGCTGAAAAAAAGTGAGGAACAACAGGTATGGTCTGGTCAGGGTTTCCAAAATCTATCATTTAAAAAAACAAACCAAAAAAAAACAAAAAACATTGTGGAGTTCCAAGCCCACTTAGGACTGGATGGCAATCTCTCTGCTAATTGCAATATAGAATATGAGCAAACAATAACAGGCTATTATTACAGCTACCATATATTCCAGACTATAAGCTGTTGCTTTCCCCCCACACTTTAACCATGCTGCTTATACGAAGTTAAAGCATTTCTGTGGAATTTTCATAAGTGCTTCAATGGAAGTTCTTTCCGTAAGCCACCAAGCTAATGGGAGCTACTGTACCATTCTTCTTGGTTCCTACTCTAGGGGTGATAAGTAAAACGTCCCCTACAGGTTTGGTGGGGGACACCTCAGTGGATATCAGCGGCTTATAACCTGGTCCGGTTTATATATGTATGTTTTTCCATAAAAAAACAAAACAAAAAAAACATAGTACAGTAGGTGTGGCTTATAGTAGGGTGCCCTCTATAATCCGGGAAATATGATATGTGGTCTCTATAATACTTAAAAAAAGCAATGTATTTTTTTTGGGGGGGCGGGTTTGGCATTTAATCGAAGTAATAGTAGATATGTTGAAATTTTATTCACAGGCGGTATAATCTCATGTATGAATATGTGACTGTGTGGGTGTTTGACACACCAGAGGAGAAATACTGTATGGCAAAGTAGATGGGGACAGTGCATGCACAACAACTCTGCTTATGTCTCAGTTCTTATTACAGTACCTCCCCTCTTTGTCAGTTTATAAAGTACTCTCCATAAATATTTTTTATTTCATTGAGATGAAAAAGTCCTATTGTTATAATTTTGCCTCTCTTGCAAATTCCACTGGCCCCCTCTCATCTTATAATGTTTCCATCCCTTTATCCCCATACATCACCCTGGTTGGCTGTGCCAAGTGATTTTCAGTCAGATGCCTGAGGGTGGAAAGAAAAGGATGGTAAAAAGAAGCTAGGCAAAATTAGACATGTGTTTTTAGTAGCATGACTACATTTTTCCTCTGCTCATCTCTTGAAATGGACAGAAAACCTGCAGGGGATACAGTAACCCAAACATTGCCAACTTTGAAAACACAAACTGATAATTATATAGAACAGAGTAGATAATCCCTGAAGTGTCTGAAGCTGGGAAAATTTCTAGTGTGTCTATAGGAAAATGATTAAGAAGTGATTCCTAAAGTTTTGAAATTCAAAATGAAGTTCAATTCACATCCTAAATAACCATCACATTTTTATTATCTATATTAACACAAAAACAAAGTGATCTAGTTAATGATCTAAAGAGATAAATGTAAATAAATTCCTTGTACACTGACAAATCATTTCTTACATTTTTTGATACACACTTCACTTTTTAAGTTTTTAAGCTTTCTGCAAATATTCGATGTGTTAGTTTAAGTTTGGAGTTCTTTCAGCAATAATATGCATTTTGATCCATAATAAATCGCAGGAGTAAATGTTGCATCTCTGATGTGGATCTCTTATAACCCAGTTATAAACTGACAAACTGTCCAGGTTGTATCCTGCTTCTCGCCCAATGACAGCTGGTTTATACAGACCCAAGTGACTCAGAGGGCTTTTGTTTGCACTGCTTGTTTGCTGGCTTTCATTCACGCAGTTCAAAAGGCATCATCAGATATGTGTTGCACGTGATATTTCATTGCTACTTCTTTATCATCCTTGCTTCAACCTGAAGGAGAGCAGTTTCTATGGCAACCCCCATCAAACCCCTCCCTTTGCTGGTACTACTGCTGTATATATGGGATTTGTGTGTGCTTAGGATGAGAACACAAGCCTGAATTTGAGTGAATGGTGTATTGATTGCTAGCATGGACCCCCCTCCAAAAAGCATTGTTGCTCAGCTGCCAAGGGGAGCAGAGATTGAAACATTTCCTACTCACATTTCCTTGCGGCTTCTAAAGATGGACAGAAGTTTCAGTAAAGGAGAGACAAAGCACTGCAGCGGTAGAAGGCACAAAAATAAGGTGGGGCAGGGAAGGAAAGAGAGGAAGAAAGGGAAGTCAGAATAACAGAATAACTTGTGTTATTTCTCCAAACATTTAACTGATTTACTTCTTTGTTCAAATTAACTAATTTCATTTAATGAATATCTTTAAATATTTTTTTCCAGATTGTTATTATTTATCATGTCAGCTTTTAAAATCGTATTTATTTAAGAGCTATGCTATAAGGACAGCATGGTGTTCCTAATGGGAGTCCTATCAATCAAGTAGACAAGATATCACGTGTGCGATACAGTAAGGCTGCTGCAACCAAAAAGAAATGTTTCCATTTTTTAAATCAAGACAAAACCATCATCGTTGACAATTACAACAATCTGTGTATCTTAGAGGCACGGCATGTCATTTTTGACCACTAGGGGTGCTAGTCCTGTAACTTTCACGTCTACTGCCCCTAGTAACTTTTGTTGGTAGCCTGGTGGCTCTCTCTGCCCGTATTTTGCTTCTACTAAACATCCAAAATTACAAAGATATATGACTGTATACTAGGAGGAAAATATTAACTTACCAGTCTAATATTAAAGTGGAGAAAAGAGACGAGGTTTTAAATCCGGCTTCTTCTTTTAGCCTGCGCCAACAATCTCCTTACCAAGATTGACTCTACTTTTTCCTTGTGCACGGTTCCTATCAGGCTTTATCTCTTTAGCCCCCTCACAAGGTATAAACTTTTTCCTTCTCTCAGCAATTACCAGGGTCGAGCAGGCGGAAAAATAGTAAAATAGTAAGGCAAAAGCCTTAGATCCATGACTATATAGGAGCCTGTGGCCGTAAAGCCATACGTTCCATACAGGGCACATGAACTGGCCAATGTCTTCTCCCAACTTAAATAGTGGGTATTTCAAGGGGAGCCCCACTCGTAGCATTGATAGTGCCAAGCACTGTATGTTGGCCTAAAGTATCATTTAAAATAACTCATATGCGGCAACTGTTAAGGTCAAAAAGTCCGCACAGTGCCTTTAAAGTGGCATTAGGG